TCTCTCTCTCTCTCTCTCTCTCTCTCTCTCTCTCTCTCTCTCTCTCTCTCTCTCTCTCTCTCTCTTTCGTCCGCAGCGTTCGACGCAGGGGACACACGTTTGACAGTGTTTGTCGCATTGGAGCGGTATGGCTCGCACGGCAAATGAAGTGCGGCCGAATGCGAGTACCATTTTTGTACCAGTTCGGACCGTTTCCCCTGCGCCACCACCGCAGCAGGCACCCCGCGAACTCCCTCCAAGACGCAAATGGGTTCGCAAGTTTTTTATTTTATTTTTTTTCCAAAAAAAAGAAAAAAAGAAAAAAAAAGTGCATGGGGCGGTACCCGACAGTGGACACTACCACCCCACACTTTCAGAAAACCCCTACCCCCCCCCCAAACGCGTGGAAACGCGGTTCGCGGACCCCGTTCATTCGCGTCCAACGCGCGTTTGAACGGGGATTGAACGCGAATTCAACGCGCGTTCAATTTTTCAACGCGAAACCCGCGTTGAATCGATTTTCGGACACACAGGTCATCTGAGCTGGTGTGAGTCGGTTGTTCATGGGCCGAAGAAAGTCATCAATGTCGTCCAGCCAACGTACCCCCTGGGTGAGAGATTTGTGATGAAAAAAAAATTCGGTAGAAATCGCAAGCTATTTTTACGCAAAGTGTTGTGGTGGTGGCTAGCTATCCTGTCACCGGATCCACGAGGTCTTCAATAGTGGTACGGTGGGCTCTTATTGAAGCTAGGCTGAAAAATTGGGAGTCCATAGCAATGATAGCACCTTTAGTAGTCCATTTTGATCATTTTCCTCTGATTATGATCCCTTGTCATTTGTGTTGAGCTTGATGGAAAAGTTGGTCCCTAAGGTGTTGGATATCAGTGTTGTGATAGCGGAATTGTCCTAGTTAACCTGGTCGTGCAGCTATGAATTTCTCGCTTTTACTGGTCACAACAGGTTGCTATTAACTTATAACCTTCGCATTTCCTGGCTAGAAAGAACAGGTAATTCGTGAACCATTGGATCTCAGAGTCGAACTTGAAGTTATCGGTAAGGTTTCGCCAATATATCCATACATCCCATAAGAAGGTTTAGAAAGTCGCATCCTTGAACAACGAGGTATTCACTTTGTACTATTCAGGCCCCTAGTCCGACCTTTTGAGAAACGACAAAATCACTCCACAAACGCAATGGTCCAGTCCCAGGTGCGGACTTCATGGGAGTATGGTGTCCAGCTATAAGGCGTTTTGTATAGCTTGGGATATTAGGATGAAATCTATTCGCATTTTGAGTGTCCGGCCGGATCACTGGTCTAGGTATATGTAAAGGCACGATCACTCGAGTGTAGAAGACAGTATGAGTCGATATGGTCTAGGACTCCAGGCTACCACAAAATCCGGAAATGGTTTACTCGTCGTCCTCCACGTACTGTGAGTGGGTCGAGTGCGGGCTCCATTTGTCTAGCCCCCCGATCTGGTGCTGCGTTGAAGTCCCCCGCGATAATGAGGGGTACGCCTATCGCCCTAGGGGAGCGGTGGGGGAGAGGTGTTAAAAAAACATCATGATCTTTCTTTCTGTGCGTGAATTTGGTACATATACGCAGAAAATACACACTAATTCAAATTCTGACGTTTCAAGTATCGAGACTCATCGCCCCTGCTCCTCGTTCACTGCCCAATTTACCATCTCAAATCTGGATTCGGGCGGGATCCGAACTGTCACGCCGACTGACCTCGTTGTTGGGGCATGAGCTGCGAAAGACTGATGGGGTCATATGGTTTTATGAGCCCTGAGGTGCTCCGATTTCTCTATGAGATGGGTCTCTTGAATGCACACCACATCCGGCCACCTTCAACTGATCCCAAATTGCTTGTTTTTTGGCTGGGTTGTAAGAAGTCAGACCATTTACATTAAGGGATCTTATATCCAGATCCGCGTTTTGGAGACAGTTCCTCCACTTCGGATTCTTGTAGTACAAGATGTCCATGTTTTCCATCTCACTGGTTTGTAAGCCTCTTTTTTTTTTCCTTTTTCTTTGAGACCCCGAGCCACGGCTTGACAGACCAGTCGACTATGCATAATAGCCCGTTTCAGATGATGCTGGTGAGAGCAGTGTGCAAGTCCTGCTTCGACCAGAAAGGGTTGGCCTTGAGATCATACAGTCTCAAGTCCATCAGTTCGCTATTGCTGCACCACTCAAGGCCAGAGTCCATTGATTTTTCAAAAAGAATGTAGAGATCTGTATTTAATTTAGCAACGCGCATCAAACCTTCAACTTGTGCGAGGGTAGCCACCACCCAGTTTGGATAATGTCTGCTGATGAAAGGGTGCATTTTTTTAGCGAAGTTTTCATCTCTCAAGGAAGGGACCATTGGCAAATGTTATAAAATTTCCAGCCAGAAAGGATAAGATCCCCATTGACAGGGGAAAGTCCCACCTCCATCCTACCCCCGCCTTTCTCATAGGAATGGCTATCACCCCCTACTGCTGCGAAAGAGGTTTCTCATACTGGCCACGTTCCACCAAGTTTCTTAGTTTCAAACGGCAGGGTCAGTCTTCACAATTTTCATCCTCCATTTCTTTTACTTTCCGAGGGGCGGTCTTGCAATCTCCTTGAGTCCTTGCGACTCACCTCAGACCCTTTCCTGCCCCACCCCATCCCCCCCCACCCCCCTCCTCCCTCCAGTTATCCGATATTGTGAGGGTTATGCGCTTCCCATTCTGCCGGGGGACAAAATTGTCACCTAAGCAGTTGGCCATATTTCAGTGTTTGTTGGGTAGCCATAGCCATAACTAAGAAGCTTCTACGCCTAAGGAGGAGGTCGATACTGCCTAAGGACCAATTGTACGAGGACTTCACTGCAATTGAGAAGGGTTGGAAGAGAGTCAACTAACAGGTTAGTGCAAAGAAAGAGAGGAATGGTATTTCTTCTCCCTCTTCATTCTTTTCCTTCTCCGTCTTCTTCTACTTCTTCCTTTTCTTCTGTGTCCTTCTTCCCCTTCTTCTCCATCGCCCCTCCTCCTTCCTCCTCTTCTTGTTCTTCTTCCCCATTCCCTCCTATCCTCCTCATCTTCCTCTTCTTCTCCCTCTTCCTCTTCCTCGCCGTCTTCTGTTTCTTCTTCTTCTTCTTCTTCTTCTTCTCATCCTCCGAGTCCTTTGATTTCATCTCCTTGCCCTTCTTTCTTTTCCCCTTTTTTTTTCTTTTCTTCAACCCCTTTTTTGTTCTCTTTCATCCTCAGGCTCGCCATCCTTTTCCTCATTTTCCTTCTTATGTATTCCCCTCTTCTTCTTCTAAGACTTCCTCCTCCTACTCTTCTTCTTCTTCTTCTTCTTCCTCCTCCTCCTCCTCTCCTTCCTCATCTTCTTGACTTCTTCTTCTTCTCTTCTTCTTCTTCTTCTTCTTCTTCTTCTTCTTCTTCTTCTTCTTCCTCGTCTTCTTCCTCCTCTCCTTCTTCTCCTTCTTCCTCCTCTCCTTCGGAATCCTCGTCTTCTTCCTCCTCTCCTTCTTCTTCTCCTTCCTCCCCTCCTTTCTCATCTTCGTCCTTGTCTTCTTCTTCCTTCCCAATCTTTCTTTTTGGCGCTATTGCTTTGATGCAAGTTCCTTTCTTTCTAAAGTAGTAGTCTATTATAGTATAGTACTTTGGTGCAAGTTCATTTCTTTCTCAAGTAGTTGTTAAATCCTTCGGAGAAATTCAGTTCCTTCTGAATTAGTTGCTAAGCTCTTTGGTACATCTCAAATTTCTGGATCAGCTGCAATTCACTTTTCCTCAATTCCTTGGTACTAGCTCTTTGGCTCTTTGCCAGTCTTTGGTGCAACCCACATCATCATGACGGTGCAGTTGGCTGCTAGACCCGTGGTTCTAACTTAGCTGGTTCCTTGGTATAGCTCGTCCGCGGAATGTTCCTATCCCTACCTATTCACTAAGAGCCCTACCCACCTTCTTAACCCGAAAAAAACGTACGTACGTTCTATACGAATACAACGTACGGGGTACGTTGTATTCGAATACAATGTACGTACGTTATCGAACAAGTTTTAGGGTACAACTTTTCACAAGCCTGTAGTTCCGCCATTGTTTTTATTTTGGGGTAACTTCGGCGCAGTCACGAAAACAGTTTGAAATTGCACTTCAGGCAATCCCGCAAACACAACACACCCCTACGTGACCCCACTTGTCCCGAATCGTTGGTTACATACATTCAGCATTACCGGCCCTTTTGCCTCAAATGCAATTACAAACTCAAACCCTGACTGCGCCGTAGTTTTCTCTTTTATTTTTATCTCAAATTTGGTTGGGAATTTTGCCAAGGCCCTCAGGCAAAGTTCTTTGCATTGGAATTTTGTACAACATACTTGTTTTTCGGGTTTTTTTTAATGAAGTTTTTTTTAAATCGAAATTCTGAAAAAAAATCAAAAAATCAGTAGGAAATATTTTCATCCTCGTTTTTATTTTTTTCTCGAATTTGCTTGTGAATTTCGACAAGACCCTCAGTCAAAAGTTGTTTGTATTGCATTGTTGTATAACTTTTTTTTTTTTTACGGATTTTTTTGATTATTTTTGAAAAA